TGCCTTTCTGGTCCCAACCAGAGACCTGAGATCAGAAATGGTATCATGATATTATTTTTTTATTTTTATTGATTTTCTCCCTTGCTTAATGTAACAGGAGTTACCACAAGTCTCAATCAAATACTTCAAGATACTACAAGATTTTAGCATCAGAAGATGCAAACTCGTAAGCTGCCAAGCCATGATGGAGATAAAAAAAAATATGTAACTGTGGTCACTGCACGGAGAGAAAATTATGCAAGATATAAGAAGTACCATTGAGTATGATTCTGTGCAATTTTAGGGTTACCAGGAATTTGGTCTTCATGGTCGATTGCTCTTTTCGACATTATTCCTATAGTATTATTATTATTATTATTATTATTATTATTATTATTATTATTTCCTTTGATTTCTGGTGTGTACACATTTCTTTCCGGGTCCCGCCCAGAGACCTAAGGTTAGAAATGGCATCATGACATTTTCCACTGACCAATTAAAAAAAAGAAAACACAAACATATTTTACATAGATAAAGCCCTTCGTAACATATTTTACATATATAAAGCCCTGCTATTATTATTATTATTATTATTAGTAGTAGTAGTAGTACTAGCATAGGGACAATATGAGGCTAACATATGTTTTTTGACAGTTTGAGGCAAAGTCATATTAAATTAAGTCTTCAGACCAGTATCCTCAACAGTCTTATTTTCAGCAATGTCTTTCATCTGGTGGCATCACTGTCCATGTTCAGGTGTTTGTAGACTCCAGTAAACATCGAGACATTTTTTTATCTCCACTTCGAAAAAAAAAAACAGAACATATCTTCATATTTATAAGCATCTTTTCTCGTAAAAAGTGCGTTTCCTCTATTTTTTAAGCAAAATGTTTGAAAATGGTTAGTCAAGACAAAAAAAAAATATCTAAAATAGTCGCAGAAAAAATACAGCCATATTTTAAAGTCTCGTATGACATCAAATTCTCGTTTAAAAAAAAAAACTAAAAACGTAAAACTGTAAATCAAAGTTGTAAAGAAGTAAGACTGAATATATGGGTGTCGTTGGGGGAAAGTTACTTCTGAGGAAAAAAAATGACGTAGTGTAGAGTTGAAAAAGACAATACAAGACGGAGATATCTTTCAGGCGTGGAGAAAATGGATTAAACACAATCGCATTAAAGACATTGGACGAAGAAGCAGTCTCGAGTGGTGAGTCAGGATATAAGAGATGATACTGAAGAGCGATCAAATCTGTGTGTCTTGTATTACTTTGTAATTTAGTTTGCTCTTCAAAGGATCATTCTGGCTGGAACGAGCGTTCAAAAACGGACGACTCTGCTCTCGAGCGAAACATGATCACCCAAACGAAACCAGAAGTGGTAAAAAAAAAAATAAAATAATATCTCTCTGTTTATTTCCCTATATTTAATAGTGAATTGTGTTTGATGCATTCAAAGTATATAAAAAAAATTCTTTCGTTCTTCTCTTTCCTTCAACGAAACTAAAAACCTTACCGACAATCAAGTAGGCTTTTCCTTTGTTTATACATGTCTTCATTTTTCATTTCTGAGATTTTGTTGTTGGCTTCAGAGGTACGTAACAGCTGTGAGTATTTATTTATTTACGTAGTTTAACAAAGTCTGGCACAAGGCCATACAGTTGATGAATTAAGCTGCAAAAATATCCTTCTGTCTTAAAGTAAAACCTTCTGGAGCTTACTGTCAATATGTCATTTTCTTATAAATTAGTATTAGCTTTAAACTGCATATTGATGTGCTCACAGAAGAACCCTCTGATGCAAGAATCGATTACCGAACAAAGCTATAAGGAAGACAACTAAACACTTTTTGTTGTGGGGATATAAGGTTGAGTCATAATCTTCGTTATTTTTTTACCAACTTTATTTTTTTTAAAAATAAAATATAAAAAAAAGATTTAAAAAAAAATGCTTACGGCCATATCACATTGAAACACCGATTCCCCTACGATCATCGAGGTTAAGTCGACCCTAGAAGGGTGAATACTTGGGAATATCTGGTGTTGTAAACTTGGATGTGCGGTTAGTGTAATGGATAATGGTTCAGAATTGTTAATCGGGGAGCCGAGTTCTAATTCCCGCCAGGTTCGTTATATTCATTTACGTGGAAATAACCTTGGGAAAATCATGAATCCACCTCTTCTCCCCCCCCCTATTGTTTGGCATCATTAATTGAAAGGATTTGTTTGATTAGAAATTGGTTTGGTCAAGCCATAAGTCACCACAATTTATTTATAATCCCCCTTTTTTGAACCCAGGCATTTATTAAACCGTGTTTCGTTCACTCCTGCAAGTATTTCTCGGTTTCCTGGTTAGTTCCATTGAGCAGCTGGGGTCGATATTTCTGGACTAAATCCAGAACAATTTTAATATTTCCAGCTTACGCCCATATCATGTTCAAACACCGCTTCCCGTGGGATCATCGAAGTTAAGCAAAATCGAGCTCGGTCAGTACCTGGATAGGTTACCGCTTAGGAATACCCGCGACTGTGTGTATAATGTAATGGATAACGCCTTGACATTAAAGATTGGAGAGACGAGTTCCAATTCCTGTTGGGTTCGTTATATTCACTTACGCGCAAATACCCTTGGAAGGTAATGATCCATTTTTCTACTCTAAGTTATATATCAATTAGTAGGATTTGTATCACTAAAACAATATTATCTCCAAAAATTCTTAAAACCTAAAAATATTTTCTTGCTTTAAATAACCTGCAAACAGTTGATAAGCCGTAAAAGCAAATCAATAAAATTTATAGGTGCATAAATTCTACTAACGAAAATCTTTGCTTTGTAAATTCAAGAAGAATTCTTCATTACATATTACTGCAACGCGGACAAAACGTTCTTGAGCAAAGCGACACATGACAAGTGGCTCGTCTCTATAATGTATTGCAATAGAGAAGACATTTTGTGGACAAGGAATCCAATCATTGTTGTTACAACATGTCAACAACGATCCTTACATTGCAAATACGACACAACAAATGAACATGGATTTAGAATGGGGAGTTTAATATGCAATGATCATGACTCTCCACAAGTTCCTGTCTCTCATTACTCTTTTGACTATTTATAATCCTTCGGGATTTGTTCTGTCATCCATTTACAAAAGCACATTAGATAGGTTACTCACGGCTTCCCTCAGTTTCTTTAACAAAAATATCCCCTGTGAATGTCCGATTCTCTAAGCCTTCTTTCCTCATTATGTGTCTAGTACTTTCAACTCTCTCTCTTTCTGATGTTAACTATAAGTGTCCATTTAGTTCTTATCTTCCTCCCTCAAAACTTCCTCGCAACTCACATGTGCAGTCTATGGTATTCTCAGCGGCATATCAACTCTTTATGGGTCATTTAATGCCTAAATTTAATTTTGTTGAGAGCATTAGTAATTTCGTTTAAAAAATATAGTGTTGGTAATATTTTTTCTTTTTCAAAAAAGTATCGCTAGCAATATTTTTTGTTCAAAAATGTATTGCTGGTATTTTTACTATAAAATTCTATTTTTATACTTTCATAATGTTTTTATCCCAGTTGTGGTGTTAACTATTAGCCCATAGCTGGGACCCTAACAGATGCTACCACTCCGGGTCGAGTTGAACCTGGAAACAACAGTAATTAAGAGGTGATCCCACGCTCCTCAAAACCTCCAATCTCCCGATCAGAGGCCTTACTGCCGGATGTAGTTTATCGTCATATCCAGGACACCACATTTCGCGAGGTACCCTTTTGCAGAAGTGCAGTCGGAGTATTCCGAAATCCCAGCCGACAGGACTCGATACTGTCAGCGTATTTTTTTTAATCAAATATGTGTCGGTTCAAATCTCTTCTTAATCTGTGAAGGAATTGTCCAACATTCACTGCTGTAGGGGAAATTAAATATTTCATAACAGTTGAGCACTCATTTGTTTATAAAGATATTTTGCTTTCTTAATACTTTGCTTAGTTTTTGAAAGTCATCTTTTACTCTTCTCATGTCATGTTTTCCATCGTCAATAGTCATCCAGTATTTAGACTATTCCCTTAGCATTCCTTTAGTGCTTTATCTACTGTCTGCGAATTTTATATTGTTACCATTATGTCCGTGGGTAATAAATCCTGTTAGGTCTTCTATTTTTCTTAGCATTAACTCGCTGTAAATAAACTCGATGAGAAAAAGCATCCTTGTCTTATTCCTCACACTAATTTTGTTTCTTCATTGGACACCTTTCCTATCTGCATGCAGACTGTTCGCTGCAAAGGTTACCGATTACTCAAATGTCTTTCGCATATAAATCAGGCTTTTCTAGCATTTCAAGTAAGTCTTCGTGTCGTACGTATGATACTTTTGTGTAATCTCTGAAACTAAGCTATAGGTATTTCTGCATTCATAATGTTAGTTCTAATAAAATTACGATCATAAAGACAGCATTTTTTGTTCTACTCAAAATATTTACTTTCTTCATAAAGCGCTATTTCGTCTACTTGCAAATAATGGAAAATTAATCGAGCCAAAACTAAATTGGTATCGTTTTTCTTTTATCATGGAATACACAATTTAACTGAAAAATGTTGTAAATTTATAGAAAGACCAGTAAAATATTTTTTATGACTGAATAATGATCACACACACACATATATATATATATTAAGATATTTTTATGTTTATACATTCTTTTTATACATACAAATATTTAAGTAAATGCCCTGTTTACAATAAACAATATTAAACAACATTTACCAGCCTGAATGTCCGAGAAATTTTCATAGAATATATTCGTCCTCCGATAGTAATCGAACCTGAATCTTATACGGAACGGTCATATAGCCTGACGTGCCTTTAACTGATTGGGCCTCAGAGGAGCGTAGGTTAGCGAGGTCGATTTTACTCTCTTTAAACTACAATCTTCAATGATGCTCTCACGTACATTCATATCTGCTCATGGCATATCCAAATGTAAGCAAATGACGTCACACATTATGAAATAGACAAAGTCCGACAATTATGTCCGAGAAATTAAAGGTTAAAGGCACGTCAGGCTATATGACGGTTCCGTAAATGTTGTTTAATACTGTTTATTATAAACAGAACATTTATTTAAATATTTGTATCTATAAAAAGAATGTATAAACATAAAAAATGTCTTAAAATAATTGTCGGAATTTGTCCATTTCATAATATATATATATATATATATATATATATATATATATATATATATATATATATATATATAGGTAACTATACTCGGTTCGAAAAAACCCTCGAATTTTTGATTTGCCAATAATCAAATCAATCCTGAGTGAAAAAAGGTTTTAAAAAAAGAAAGAGCTAGAAACATGAAAGTCTGTCGAAAAAAATCGCACAGATGCAGGTTTTAAAGCCCAAAGAAAAAAACCCGACACGAGTAAACAACTAACAAAAGAGCTCAATACAACCGTAGAGCAGACCAGCTTTCCCTGATGATCCGCTTAGGTGAAACCTGGGTAGGTTTGTCTGGCTCACGAGGTTTATCTATCTATCTATCTATCTATCTATATATATATATATATATATATATATATACTAGAATAATCCTAAGGAACCAGGCAAACCTACCATAACGGTGTAAACTGGCTTCAGTTTACCCTGAAGATCCGTTTAGGCGAAACCTAGGTAGGTTTGCCTGGCTCTTTAGAATTATTCTAGTTTATCGCTCTACTTAGCGTATTGAGCACTCTATGTGTTTGTCTTTCTACTCTTTTGTTTTTTTTTTCTTTGGACTTGGAGCTTAAACACTTGACGATTGGTTTCGTATTGTGTTAATGTTCTTGGTTCTTTCTTTTTTATTTCCAATTTTTTCCCCGGGTACCGATTTGTTCTATTACAAGTTGAGCTATCCAAGGTTTTCCAAACGAGTTATTATATATATATATATATATATATATATATATATATATATATATATATATATATATATATAAAGGTGTCATTATAGTTGTTCAAACGAGAGAAAAGTGTATATTTTAAAAAGAGAAAAAGTCACAAACGTTTTTGATTATAATGTGTATTTTTTTTATATGTTATTTTATATATTTTGTTACACGGGTTTCAGGTTTTGTGACCTTCATCAGGCGAATAATAGTTATTCTCACATATTATTTAAAGAAATTATTTTTTCTTCCCATATTATGTCTTTTAACCATTGTCTTTTGTGTATACTAGTAGCCACCTGACTCCATCTTGGACTGGCCGAAAAATGTTCCTTTGCTTGAAGGATAATAAAACAATTAAATTTGGTATGAGAAAGGGAAAGAAAGTAACTCATTGTTCTTACCTTTATATGTCTCCGTGTATCACTTCTTTCGTTCCTCTATTCTTGTGTATTGTGTTTTTTGCCAGTATGTATATATATATATATATATATATATATATATATATATATATATATATATACACTTTGTATGATGTGTAGGGTTTGTGAGTGTTTGTTTGTGCTTTTCGTTTTTGTTTTTATTTTTTTAATCATTTCACCACAAGCAAAGCGAGAATGCCATTAGTACGCAGTGGATTACAGAGAGTGAAGGTGAGAGAAAAAGATTGAATATAGGGCGAAACCGAGGAAAGGATAAAAGCTGAACGGTGTTCAAGAAGATAGAAGATGGCGATTGACGTTGCATTTAAATTTTTAGAGATTGTAGGTAGCATGAAGCAAGAAAGCGGATGTCTCACATGTAGGAAGTGCGAGAAAAGAAACCGCTGGAGTAGATGTGGCGGTTACATTTACCTAATTCAACAGTAAAATCGTGGGACCTAGATGCCAATCTAGTAGCATGCGTAAACCCAGGTTGTCTGGACACCAGGGAAAAACGTTCCTCAAAGCATTAGCCATGAAAATATCTGTAGAAAAGACAGAGAGAAGCCACGTCACGTCGATGAAAAAGTGACTGAAGTCGAGACGTCAAGTCATGATCGATTACATTGCAGATCTTTCTTTGGATTTTGCCAAGAACCTCGAGATGAGTAGCAGAATCACCTAACCAGATATGGCAACAGTATTCAATGAATGGATGAATCGTAGATTTTTAAATGTGCAAGATGGACTCTGATTTGGTATCATTCGGAGATTCTAACTCCTAGGCCATCGACGCCCGGCACAAAGAAAGGCGAATGTTTGCGTATTTATTTTTTCATAAACACGCCAGTGACCTAGAGGACGCAAACTGTTGGGAGAGTCTTGCATTATTATCAGTAATAGTGAGTTTTAATATATGCACTTTTTCCTCCACAGTTCTCGACCGAATTAATTTATTTTCGGGAGCTGATATATATATATATATATATATATATATATATATATATATATATATATATATATATATTAGTTATAGTTATAGTTATAGTCTCTTAAATTCTTAATTCTTCTTTTGATTTCATTTCGCTTCATCTAATAAGTTCTCGTTTTTCTTTATTTCTAATAAATTTCTACTTTTCCTTTTCCTTAATAAAATTCATATTTCTCTTG